TAAATACACACATGTTCTTGAGAAGGCCTGGGTTCACACACATACACACACACACACACACACATACACACACACTCTAAATCTCAAAAACAAAATCTGTGCCCTGTGGCACTTGATAGGAATGGAGATAAATGGAAAATAAAGTAGAGCCACGGAAATAAAGGATTTATATAAAATTCTGAAGAGAGATTGCACACTAGTAAAAAAAAAAAGTACTACTTATGCATGACAATGAAATAATTAGCCATAAAATTGGAATAAAAGTTTACATCTCAACCCCTACAAGAAAATGACTTACGTGTGTGTGTGTGTGTGTCTGTGTGTGTGTCTGTGTGTGTGTGTCTCTCCCAGGACTTTAACTCAAGGCCTGGGCACTAACCCTGGGCATTTTTGGTAATTAATTGGAAATAAGAATCTTACTGACTTTCCTACCTGGGTTGGCTTCAAATGTCAATCCTCAGACCTCAGCCTTGTGAGTAGGATTATAAATGTGAGCCACCGACACCTAGCTCCACATTATCGTCTTTACTCTCTCTTATCCCTAACTTGTAATAAGGGCTCAATACATAATGAAAAATCTGACTACATAAAATTTGGTTAAGTTCCACATAGGAGACATAATAAATTCAAAGAAGAAACAAATGGCCTGGGGAGAAAAATACAAAAATAAATCATTAAAAATTCCCATATTTAGGGGCTGGGAAGGTGGCTCAGTGGTAGAGCGCTTGCCTTGCATGCCTGAGGCCCTGGGTTCGATTCCTCAGCACCACATAAGCAAAAAGAAAAAAAAAGCCAGAAGTGGCACTGTGGCTCAAGGGGTAGAGCTCTAGCCTTGAGCTGAAGAACTGAGGGACAGCGCCTAGGCCCAGAGTTCAGGCCCCAGGACCGGACCAAAAAAAAAAAAAAATCCCATATTTAGCAACAAAAAAACAAAACACTTGACTATTAGCAATTTCATGTGATTCAACATCTTTTTAACACATACCAAATGAAAGATAAGTATATCTAATCAATTAAAACATCTTTTACAAAACATGACAAACCAAAAATCCATTTTTAAAACTGATTGAGTAAGGGCTGGGCACTGTGGTACACACCTGCAATCCTAGCACTTGGGAGGCTGAGGCAGAAGAATTACAAGTCTAAGGTCAACCTAGGCTATGTACCAAGACTTATCTCAAGAGACCAAAATGAAACAACAACAACAAAAAAAAACCTGGCAAACAACTGAAAAAACATCACAAAAGAAACAATAATACACATAAGATGCATTGCCAGGCAACTGTGATTCACACAGATCATCCCAGCTACCCAAAAGGCTGAGATCTAAGAATCAAGGTTTGAAGCTAGCCCAAGCAGATGAATCTGCAAGACTCCATCTCCAATTAACCAGCAAAAAGCTGGACTAAAGGTGTGGTTCAAGTAGTAGAGCACCAGCTATGAGTAACAAGCAAGAGTACCAGGCCCTATATTTAAGCCCCAAAAAAGGAAAGAAAAAAAAAATAAAAGCAACAATGTGTGATCTCAGTGACAAGCAAGTGAAATAAAACCTGAAAGGCACACCATAGTGTAATTTCCAGAGTGGTGAAACATGACTTTACTAAATGATATCTCTGCTAAGGATGTGAGGAAAAGTGCATCCACCAATCAATTTTCTGATGTGTAATTTAGTAGTTCTTATTTGGCATGCTCTTAGGACAAGAAATTTCACTTCTAGGATCCTTGAGGTGCAATATGTAGTTGAACACAAATGTAACAGATAATATGTAGAAGGCTATTGGTTGCAATGTTATTTATTACAGCTAAAAATTGTAGGCAACTTAAATTTCTTCCACAAAAGAACAAACTGCCAAATAAATGGCAGAAAGGCCTTACTACTGAAATAACTACTGAAAATAAATCTAATGTCCACACTTGGAACAAGCTGTATATGAGATTTTTGGATTAAAAATGAGCAAGATATAGGAAAGTATAAACCACTTGTTCCCATTTCTCTGGATACCCACACACAATATGCTTTTCCATGCACACACAAGAAAATGAAATACACACTGAAAGACTGACAAGAAGAGTCTCAGGTGGGGGTGTGGCTATGGAGCTATGCGGTAACACTTCTATACTGCTCTGCTGCTTGAACAGTATGTACTTCTGCCATAGTTTTTCTTTAAGTAAGGAGGGGAAAAGCATGCTGCCTGCTTTGGGCAGAGAATAGTGTAAGAAGAGCCATTTGTCATCCAAGCACAGGGACTCAAGGTGAGATCCCACTCATATCACGAGCACAGGACGAAGGTCAGAGATCAGGGTATCAGCAGGAAGCTCATTTAGCCTCTCACCCTTGGACTTTGCACCTGAAATCAGATATGTCAAAGTACTTTATAGGCAGAACAGGGCTTTAGAAATCAGAATGTATTACTGCTTGGCCTGACAAGGTCCTCCCTTGAAAACCAGAAAAATCCTAGTAAAAGCTACAGACTCCTAAAGAAAATAAATGAAGGAGGGACAAATAGATTAAAGATTTACCAACCAAGTCTATACCAAGTGGGTCTCATCTGGACCTAATTTAAACAACTGGCTGAACATGAACATTGACTGTATATTTCAGATAATACTGGAGAGCCATTATTACTTTTCCTTGGGGGGTGCAGTACTGGGATTTAAACTCAGAGCCTCGAACTTACTAGGAAGATGTTCTACCACCTGAGTCATGCTTCCAGCTCTTTTTGCTCTATTTTCTCAAATGCCTTTTGCCCTGGCTGGTCTAGGCCATAATCCTCATATTTATGTCTCCAGAATAGTTGGCATAACAGGTAAGCACCACTACACTCAGCTTTTTATTGGTTGGGATAGGGTCTCACCAACTCTCCACTGGGACTGGCCTTGACCAGTGATCTTCCCATCTCCACCTTCCAAGTGGCTGGGATTACAAGCATGAGCCACTGTGTCCAGCCATAGTTATTATTATGAATGAAATGGTATAAGGTTTGATGTCAATATTAAAACACTGCACCAAGATGGATGGAATTATAGATAGACAAGATTAATTGCTGAAGTTGGGTGGTAACATGGTAATGCTACTTTGACATGCCTCTGCAATTTAACATAACAAGTTTTTGTAAAAAAATATATGGGCCTCATCTTCCTAGATCAGAGATATTCAAGACTCAGGTTAGGTCTGTGGCTGAGGTGCATCTCTGTGCTGCCTCATCCAGACTAGACCTCAGGAAGTGCGAAGGTGCACCCTTCATACCTGAGGTGCTGTGGGTCAGTGGTGTGTGTGTGTGTACATGCATATGCATGCACAGGCACACACTACTCAATCAGATCCTAAGACAAGAAAGCAGTTATACATATCACAGAAAGGCCCAGTGCCAAGGGGAGAGGTGGAGTGATGGCAGTGATGAGAAGAATGCTGCGTGGACCACCTGAGAGCACACGACCCCACCCTCATTCCCAGTTCTGCGGGCAGGAGAATGAGATGGTACTCAGGTGCTTTAACGTTCTGAGACTGCCTTGTAGAAGGGCAAACCCCTCCCCTGCAGGCCCCCTTGGAAAACCTGACTATGATGAGGTAGTTCCCCAAATTCACAATGACCCACCAGCCCTAGTTCTGGCCATGCCACTGGTAAAGAGGCAGAGAACCTTAGACTTCATCTGTGAAATCAAAGACCTGGGCTGGGATGTAGCTCAGTGGCAAAGCGCTTGCCTAGCAAGTGCAACGTCCTGGGTTCGATCCCCAGTACCAAAAAAGAAAAGACAAAAAAAAAAAATACAGTTAAAAAAAAAACCCAAACAAAGACCTATGGGATGTTTATTAAAGTCTCTTTCAATTGTGTGTGTGTGTGTGTGTGTGTGTATGCCAGTCCTGGGGCTTGAACTCAGGGTATAGACACTGTCCCTGAGCTTTTCTGCTCAAGGCTAGCGCTCTACCACTTGAGCCACAGCTCCACTTCAGGCTTTTTAGTGGTTAATAGGAGGTAAGAGAATCACCAACTATCTTGCTTAGGTTGGCTTCAAACCAAGATCCAGAGATATCAGGCTCCTGAGTAGCTAGGATTACAAGCACAAGCCACTGGTGCCTAAGTCCTTTTTTTTTTTTTTTAGGCAGCTTTGCTATGTAATCCAGGCTATAATCTTCCTGCCTCAGCTTCCCAAGTAGCCAGAATTACAGGCCTATGCCCAGCTCTTTCAATACTCTTTTACACAAGCCTCTCATCTGAGTAAAAGGGCAAAGTACCAGGCCATGATAGACATGTCTCTGTGGTCCTCCAACTACAATGATAAAGAAGCTGAGGAGAGGGCTGGGAATGTGGCTGAGTGGAAGAGTGCTTGCCTAGCATGCATGAAGCCCTGGGTTTGATTCCTCAATAGCACAAACACAGAAAAAGCCAGAAGTGGTGCTGTGGCTCAAGTGGTAGAGTGCTAACCTTGAGTAAAAGCAGCTCAGGGACAGTGCCCCAGCCCCAAGCCTGGAAAAAAAAAATGCTGAGGAGAGGAATGGGGTCCTCAACTCCTTTCAGACTGCTTAGCTTAGACTGGTGGAGGGATGAGGTGAGCGGGGGACTGAGAGAAAACCCGCACACCTCCATGAAAGTAAGCACGCTCCAAAGTGAGGAGAACCCAGGGGTAGGAGTGAGGAACAGAGGGGAGAAATCAAGGTCCTGGCATTCATGGGTGGGCACCAATGTCTGAGACAAGTTCCAAAGAATCCTAAAATCACCTTGGAAAAGCCATCAAACCATGTGTTTGGGGCAGAATATAACTTGATCAACTTGGCCCCTCTTGTGACAAAGCAGGTCTTTTAAGGTGAGATCTGTGATTATCTCAAGAGATCAATTCCAGGCTGTTACTGCTGCTCAAACAGCTCTTACTGTGTATTCCAAAGCCACTATCTGTCCCTCTTTCAGCAAGACATACCCGCTGGCTGCATGCTCAGGAAAAGCAAACAGATGGCAGATAGGAAAGAGCAGTAGCTTGTTCAGCTCAGTGCTCGTGCTTCTTACCCACATATTCTGAGAGGAAGACGACAAAGAACGGAGTGACCAGGTCATTAATTCCCTGGACATACCCACTGGCAGGGTGTCGGATGGCCCAAATAAATAGAATTCTTTCAAAGATCTAGGAAAATGAGAAAGAAAGAAGACACAAGTGTTAAATCAGAGGACACCTCCTTCTCACCCTCCTTTTTTCCTACTTCATAATTAATTTCAGGCATGGGGGGGGAGAATCATTTAGAACAATTAAAACACCAGGGACAAAGGAAGAATATCAGTACAAAAAGTTTCTAAGGGCTGGGAATATGGCTTAGTGGTAGAGTGCTTGCCTAGCCCTGGGTTCAATTCCTCAGAATTACATAAACAGGAGATGGAAGTGGTGTTGTGGCTCAAGTGGCAGAGTGCTAGCCTTGAGCAAAAGAAACTCAGAGACAGTGCCCAGGCCCTGAATTCAAACTGCAAGACTGGCAAAAAATAAAATAAATAAATAAATAAATTTAAAAACAACAACAAAAAAATGGGCTGGGAATGTGGCTTAGTGACAGAGGGCTTGTCTTGCATGCATGAAGCCCTGGGTTCAATTCCTCAGTACCACATACACAGAAAAAGCTGGAAGTGGCACTGTGGCTCAAGTGGTAGAGTGCTAGCCTTGAGCAAAAGAAGCTCAGGGACAGTGCCCAGGCCTTGAATTCAAGTCCCAGGACTGGCAAATAAATAAATAATAATACATTTTTTAAAGTTTCTAACACACAAGTTGTGGTTTAGATACTTTCCCCCTTTTAGCTTCTCAGTATCTGGGTATCAGGACATAAAGTTGGGAGGAAAAGAAAGGATAGTGACACAGATTGATTAAAAACAGAATGCTGGTATGGTGGCTTTTGCGTGTCATTCCAGTCCTCAGGAAGTGGAGGCAGGAGAATCACAAATTCAAGGCCAGCCTGAGCTACATAGCAAGTTCTAGGCCATCCTTGGCTGCACAGAAAGATTATGTCTCAAAAATATCTACACACCCCCAAATCAAAATAACCTAACATATTCAAAGCCCTGGGTTCACCCCTCGCACTATTTAAAAAAAAAAAACGTCAATAATAATAATTAGAAAAAGGGTTGTTATGAGTGTCCCTAATACCACCACATTCTCAATTATGGATGCTGCTGTTTTGGTTATTGCCAGAAGCAAGATATCAGAGCATCCTACCTGACATCTTTTCTTAAATCTTTTTTGGTCATTTTAGGATTCAGATAGGAATACCTTCTCCACCACCCTTCCCTCTCTCCCTGCTGAGAAGGAGATCTAGATTTAGCTCATTCTCGCCTAAGTAGGAACAAGTGACAGACAACACAAGCAGGAAGTGCCTTCGTATGTCAGGATACAACTGGGACACGGGCTGGGATAGGACATTGAGGGATTCAAATCCCATGAACTCCTACAGCTAGAGCTCTGAGCAACAGAACTCAGCCAGAGGCCCCCGGGGAAGCCTCTGGAGTTATAGACATTAGTCAAAAGAAGCCACATAGGCCTATGTGGGGTACAAGGAAAACATATCTACTGTCCCTTAAGAGAGTCCTGTCCTATCCTAGTCAACTGTCTTCTGCTTTCATTTAGCCCTCTGGGCTTTCCCTTCATCTTCTCTCAACCTGACACTATCCCCTGACTGCCTGTGTCCTGATAAGCACAACTCCTAGGCCTGATACAGGCTTGAGCCATTCAGAGATGGCAGGTGAGAGCAGGCACATGAAGGTGGGACAGGTCAGAGAGCACGGGGTCATTCCAAAGAGGCCCTTCCAACCAGACGAGGTCTCTCAGGGAGACCAGGGAAATGAAATACAATTTCAGGAGCTGGTTATCTAGTGTAAGAAAGAAGCAAAGAATCTAGAGACAATAAAGGATGTTTCTTAGCCCCTGCATCATAGGTGACCGAGTCTGCCTCCAGCTGTCTAAGAAAGCTGAGGAACACTTCTGGCAGAACAAAACCCTGCCTGAAACCGAACTGGTTTTCTGCCTCCACTTGCCTTACGCACTTGCTCGCTCTCCGTGTTGAAGGAAGAACATGGCGTCCTTGTTTGTATTACAGCCTGTTTGTATGCATGTGAGCCCTTTTATACATCTGCCTCTCAGTTGCTGAATGACCTCTCTCCCTTCCTTGAAAATGAAGCCCAAGCTAGATCCATCATGTTCCAGAAAAATCGCAAGAACACCCTGCCCCAGTCTGCCTCCTCTCACCACCTTTGACATGTGTCTGTCTGGATGCTTGTGTTAAAAAGCTCCTCCTGGGGCTGGGGATGCAGCTCAGGGGTAGCGATGGCGTGCAGAAATCCCCGAGTTCCATTCCCAATGGCACAAAATAAAAACAATTTAAAGAAGATCTTCCAGGTCATTGCTGTGAAGGACAGACCAAGGGCTTCGCCTGCCCTACACTGTTGGCCCTTGTGAATACACAAATCCTCAGTGACTGGCTTTAACAATGGCCAAGTACACAGAAGCTGGCTGTTCAAGTCAGGAGACCAGCAGGATGTCTGGTGGGTAATGAACAATGCACCACACTTACGCAGTACCATAAAGAAGCAAAAGAATGCCACCGGAGGACAGCTTGCTGGGGGTGGAAAGGAAAATCCCACATGGGTTGCCCCTGCCTCCTCTTCTAGGAGCCATTTTGACTTGTTACAGACAGGTCTCAAAGACCTCACAGCAAGCATTTCAGTTCAGTGTTACTTTCTGGTCCTTGGATGGCATTCTTACTGTTTTAACAGAAAGACTAGATGAGATGAACGTTTGCATTTCCATCCTTGTTTCCCAGTTTCACTATGAAGGGAAGACTTTTAAACAAACTACTACGTTCATATACAAGTTGGGCTGACATGAACAAGTAAAAGGTAAGTATCTCAACACTGCCACCCAGAAATGAGGGCTAAGCAGGGATGAAGTGTGGGAAACTGAACAGGGGGAAGAAAGGAACCCTGGCTGCATATTTAACTTCCATTGCACTGAATCTTATGGGTAAAACAATGGTGTCATCCCCAAAATCTTCCTTATGGTATTGCTAAGTCAGGAAGGCTCTCACCAAGAGAGACACCTGTATTTAAGTAGAATTACGAACACCACTCAAAGTCAATTTATTTTCAGAATTTTGCTACCAGCTCTCTCTATTCTGCACAGAACCGACAGATTACTTCAAGGAACATGAACACTTAGCATCCTGTCTATTGCAGAGCTGGGAAGGAAATTCCTGGCCTCAAGGAGCTGGTAGTTACAGCTGAGCTGGGAAGATTAAAAAGGTAGGAACTTCTGGCACATGCTATAACACAAAGAAACGTTGAAGGCTGATGCTAGTGAATTAAGCCAGTCACAAAAGGACAAATGTTTTCTAGTTCCATTTAGCTGAAAGACCTGGAGTAGTCAAATGAAGAGAAATAAAAAGTAAACTGGTAAGCTGGGTGCTGGTGGCTTAGACCTACAATCCTCGCTATTTAGGAAGCTGACATCTGAAGATCCTAGTTCAAAGCTAGCTGAAGAAGCCAAACCCATGAGAATCTTATCTCCAATTAACTAGCAAAATGCCAGAACTAGAGGCATGGTTTTAGTGGTAAAGTACTAGCCTTGAGTAGAAAAAGCCAAGTGAGAACTCAAGGCCCTGAGTTCAAGCCCCAGTTTCTCTGTCTCTGTCTTTCTCTGTCTGTCTGTCTGTCTCTCTCTCTCTCTCATACACACACACACACAAATGTAGAATGGTGGTTGCTAGACAAAAGGGGATTACTAGTTAATAGATACTAGGGTTTAGTTTGGGAAGATTTGGGACTAGATGGAGGTAACTATTATGTAACAGTGTGAATATACTTAGTGCCACTGAATCATACATTGAAAAAAGTAGTAAAAGCTGGGCACCAGTAGCTCATGCCTGTAATCCTAGCTACTAAGGAGGCTGAGATCCAATGATCGCAGTTTGAAGCTAGCCCAGACAGGAAAGTCCATGAGACTCTTATCTCCAATTAACCACCAAAAAGCAGGCAGCAGAGCTGTGGCCTAAGTGGTGGAGTGCTTGCCTTGAGCAAAAAAGCTCAGGAAATTGCCCAGGCTCTGGGTTCCAGCCCCAGCATACACACACAAACTAATAGTTAAATGGTAAACTTTATGTATATTTACCAAACTTTTTTTTAAATCCTAACTTCCATCTTGATAAAGTAGGCCAACTGTAAGGTGGGGTTGTTCATGGGCATCAGGTAGGCTGAAGGCTGGGCCAGCTCCTTACCTGTGAAGGACCCATGAGGACACAAGAGAAAGTGCTCTGAGGGAACGCTCCGCAGAGGAGCAATAGCTGCACACCGTGAGCAGGGGCCGTGCGCTGGGGCGGAAGGACCAGAGAGCGTTAAGTAATTCCCTCACCTCCTGTACAAGTGGCTGCTGGAACAATGGAATGAGAGGATTCGTCCTTGGAATGTCAATGTGAATCTGAAAAAGAGAAGCCATATGCACAAACACCAATGCCAATGTGTTCTTCTGACAAGTATTTTCTTTTTTTTTTTTTCTGACAAGTATTTTCTTAACAAATGGAATCAGAGGAGTAAGAATTAGAGCACAGTTTACCTTCAGGAAGAACCGACACAGACAAAAGTCCAGCTAAACTATCTCCATTGAGCATGTGCAAACTGGCCTCAGCTCAGCTAACAGCGAGGCACCTTCCGAAATGGCCATTTTCATCCAACTGCCTTAGCCAATCCACTGCTCCCACCCACTCCCCATAAGTCTGAGCAACTCCGGGCCAGCACTGTGTACAGGTGTGATCAAAGTATGTGGCCCTCCTGCTGCCTCTGACTTTCCAAGATCTGAAGGAGCTCCCACTGCAACCTCACAGACCAGGCTGGGGAGTCAGAGGAGTCAGCAAGGTCTATGAAGTCTTGATGGGTAAGATTCGAGGAAGGCCCAGGCGGCTCGCCTCTCACTTGGTGCTGAAAGATCTCATTTCTGTTGCCAAAGTGGTCAGTCCAGCTGCTTTCAGCTTGGAGGACCTTCCAAGGCCCAGTCTAACCATCGTAAGACAGCGTCCACCGCAACAGAGGCCACTTCAGTTCTCAGGCTGATTGTGGACAGCTGTGCCTCCACCAGTCTCCCCTCTTCTCCTCCCTCTGCATGCATACCTCCTCAGCCTGTGAAGATTACTGCAGGCAAAGATGGAGGACTCCCTAACCGTGAAGACTCAGACAGACAAAAAGAACAGAGAAGTGTGGGTGCTGTGGCTGTCAGTGGCATGGGCCACTCCTGAGTGGTCTGTAGCCCATAGTACTCAGTGTGGTCTGTGAATCAGTGGCATCTGCTACTGGGGATTTGTGGGGGGTTCACTGCAATCCTGCATTTTCCCATAATCCTCAGGGCCAGGGGAGGGGGGTGGAGGGGATGTGCTTATCAAGGTCCCAGGTGACTTGTACACATGTGAAGGTCCAGGACGTATTACCACTGACCACTGCTAAAGATGTCAACCTATTCAAAAAGACCAAAATCAAAGATACTCAGTGCCAAGAAAGGAGGAGGGCCTGGGAATGATGGAAGCCGCCCCAGACATGCCACCGCCTGGAGACCTGGAAAGTCTCTACCAGGAGGTTCCAGGAGTTAAGTATTACCAGGAGACACAGGTCGAGAACAGAACCGCTAAGACTGTACCTGTCTGTAGGTGTCCTGGTGATGCTCCTCGTTTCTGGAGTCGTAATACTGCTCAATGAAGCCAAAATACTCCTCCCGCTTCCGCTGCAGGGTCAACGTCCGCCTCTCGGTGTTTGCTGGGAGATAGCCCTGCAGACAACACCGCCCGTGAGGAAGGACGCTCGCTGCTTGGAGGGACAGACGCTGGCTGGATGCTTTTTCATTTTAGATTGAGCAGTGGCTGGGAAATTGGCAAAGGCAGAAGGAAAACTGCCAAGAGGACAGGGGTAGTCTTCTTGGTTTGGGCCACTCAGTGTTTGTTTTTTCCTCTGCCAATGGGATCCACATGTGCAGCTGAGGTGAGGCTGACTTTCCTAGGGTTATTCATTCCTGAGGCCCCGCCCTGCCCGTGGAGCATGGACCACTGGAAAGCTTCACAGCCCTCAGAGTGGGCCTCCTCCACAGCAGGGAATGGAGGTCAGTGGGAGGGAGCTGGGCCTGAGTCTCCGCCTCAGAGGCCATGACCTCTCACTGCCATGGTGTAATCCCTTCCACACTTCCGGGAACCACAAGGATCTGGCAGCTTCTACAGCACAGCATTAGGTGTGCCAAATAGCCTGGCAATGAACACACATGCTTCTCCAGGGTAACCCTGAGCACCACCAGCTCAGGGAGCTAAATGGAATTTGCGACAGAGCAGTTTTGATGCCAGCACAGACCTGGCAGCAGCCCTGCTCCTAGTCCAAGCTCCAGCCAATTTTCACTCTTAGCCCTGGTCCCCATCCCAGTCTTCATTCTCATACCTCCCAATCCTTTTCTGCTCAGCAAAGCCACTCTGAACGGCACTGAGCCTAGAAGTGGCAGGGGTGATGGTTACATGGTTGTAAGATTGCAGGTTGGGGGGCTCAGAGAGAAGACACGCTTCCTCTCAAATACCTTAAGCCATGCACTGCACAGCAGTGCCTGGAGAGCAGGGATGGGTGCTTATTCGGTTTTGGATCTGCTCACAGCATCTGGCACAGTGCCTGGCAAACAACAGGCCCTCAAAAAAGTCCTTCCTAGATCAACAGATGAATTTTACAGGCGCTTCCCTCGCAGTGGCTGGCACAGTATTCATGGGGGGCGGGGAGGGACACTAGTACAGCTTATGAGAAACCACTTAGTGACGGGTCACCATGGGAAGTAGGCTTCAACCACTTGAGTTATTCCCACTGCCTAGGCAGTGTCCAGCTTGCTCACAGCGCGTGCTGGTTTCCCCTGCTGTGACTACAGAGCCAGCTGTGCCCATCTTCCTGCATGGGAGTGGGACTCGATCCCCACCCTGCAGGGGTGGGATGAACTTGCAGGGGTCTCTAAGCCATCCAGTGGGGATGGAGAACTCTATGGAGTAAGACCAACATGTCCAGACTAACCTCATCAGGCAAGAAGGGCTGTGTGAGGCTCACGCTTCTCTACACAGGGGTAGAACTCACCGACAGGAGTCTCCAGGTTACAGGCCGAACCTCCCTGGGAACCCCTGGCCAGCTACACTTCCTCAGCTCATCTGCAAACAGACAACAGCCTCATTGGATTAAGTCCTCCCACAAGGCCCTAAAACAAACCCAGATCAGAGCTGCCAGATGCCTCCTACCGCTCAAAGACAGATACCACCACCACCAGCACCTGCTGCCGACAAGCAAGGGTAAGGCCCAAAATGACAGCTCTGAGCGGCAGAGTACCAAGTAAGGGCATGGCAGCCATCAATCAGCTCAGAGATGAGAGTTAGAAGGGAACAGAGAGCCCCATGGGTGTGGATTTCTGTGAGGATCCCCTCAAGGCAGAAGAGATGAAAGCCATAGCTGCACTATGGTCTACAGGCGCCAGAAAACCCATCCCGCCTAGTTTGGTCCCTCATCTCTAGCAACAAACTTCTGCCTTAATACCTGCATGTCACTGCAGTGGGCGCCAGATCAGGAGATGCTAGAAAAGTAAAAGAAGGAAGAATAAAGAGCAATAGCTTCCAGGTCTCTGAGACTCCCAGTCACCAAGAGCTGCTGCTATGCCCAGGGCTCTCGGGAACTCACCTAAGTCAGTGTTGTGGCTGGAGAGAAGCTGACGGAATTTTTCTAGGCGGGTTTTCTCCCGGACTGTCATGGGGGGTGCCCCGGAAGCATTCTGGTCTGAGATCCGGGCTACGAGGGGGATGATGGGCCGGAGAGGGAGTGACTGCTGTTTGTGGAGTGGGTTCCTCAGACATGTGTCACCTGAGATGGTTTGAAAGAGAAAAAGAACGGCCTGTGAAGAGCATGGATGCTGAGAAACCTCAACCTGCCCGTCCAGCAAGGATGCCCCCACCTCCAGAGCTGAGGTGGCAAACAGTGTGTGCTGCCTGAGGCTCCAACTAAAGGCCGGCTGGAGACCCTGTCGGGCTCTGCTCCTTCTCACAGAAGGGCTGCGTGTGTATCATCAGGCAAAGGCATGCTGTGTGATAACAGAGCTCTTGATGCTGAAACCACTCCTGAGAACTTGCATGGCAACACTGAGAAAAATCAAATACTCATTCTACCTCAATCTAGAATGTTATTCAAGGCCCGGGAATGAGTCCTGTATGAACACAGAGCTCTTCTCCAATGTCCACAGCCCAGAGCACCCTGCTCACCGCAGTCCAGGCATGACCAGCTGCTGCAGCAAGGGTTAGAAGGAACACCAGAGAGCCCTGCATGGCAGATGGTACACTCTTGTGATCGATTGCTCTGTGTTCCACCTTTCCCACCACAATAAGCAGCTTTCAATTCTGCCAAAAGATGGCTGAAGTAGCAGAATGTACATTCACGCTACACTCTGTGGCTCTAGACATCTCTAGATCAAATGGTAGGTAGCAGGTCTATGAGTACAGGACGAACACTAGTGTTTGCTATATGTGAGTTAGCAGGCTGGTCACTATTACACGTGGCCTCTCATCTGACCCTCATGACACAGGGAGGAATCTGCATGTATTTTCCAAGGAGCAAACTGTAGTCTAGAGAAGTAATGGTGAGACCTGAGTGACACCTTTGGTAGGACTGAATGCCAAAAAGAAAACTCAGTTTCTAATTGTGCCAGTCTTTTCATGACTGCTTTTTTTTTTTAGGTTTTTTGGGGGCTTGAACTCAGGGCCTGGGCACTGTCCCAGAGCTCTTTTTTTATTGTTGTTGTTGGTTGTGGGGCTTGAATTCTGGGCTTGGGTACTGTCCGTGCACTCTTCAGCTCCAGGCAAGCACTCTACCACTTGAGCCACAGCGCCACTTCCGGTTTTCTAGTGGTTTATTGGAGATAAGAGTCTAACAGAGTTTCCTGCCCAGGCTGGCTTTGAACCGTGATCCTCAGATCTTAGCCTCCTGGGTAGCTAGGATTACAGGTGTGAACTACCAGCGCCTGGCTCCAGAGCTCTTTTTCTCAAGACTAACCCTCTATCACTTTGATCCACAGCTCCACTTTTAGTTTTTGAGAGATTAATTGGAGATAAGAATCTCACAGATTTTCTGCTCAGGCTGGCACTGAACCACGATCCTCAGAGCTCAGCCTCCTGAGTAGCTAAGATTACAGGCATAGGCCACCAGTGCCCAGCTTTGCTTCATATTCTTAATCTATCTTGGCCATAAAAGTAGTGGTCACAAATATTTAACAGTGAATTACTTATCAACCTCCCCTACCAGGTTTATAAATCCAACTGCCAGGATTGGGAATGTGGCTCAGTAGTAAAATGATTGCCTAGCATTATTGAAGCCCTGAGTTCCATTTCTCATACCACATACAGAAAAAGCCAAAAGTGGTGCTGTGGTTCAAGTGGTAGAGTGCTAGCCTTGAGTAAAAGTAAAAAGAGACAGTGCCCGGGCCCTGACTTCAAGCCCAAAGACTGGCCTTGTGTTCGGAGGAAGGAAGGAAGAAAGGAAGGAAGGGAGGGAGGGAGAGAGGGAGGGAGTGAGGGAGGGAAACAAACAATGGATGCAGAAATACACTCGTGAAGGCCCAAATACCTTCTAGCACCACCATCATCACCCCCAGCAGCTCCTGAGGCCGGTTTCCCACCCTATCCAACCTGACAGGCACACATGGTGGAGGGGTCTGTGACCAGACACCTGTGTTAAGTTCTCCCTTCCACAGGACAGGAAAAAACCACCTGAGGCTAGTCTGTTCCTCAGGGTTGAGGAAGTCAACAGCAGTGCCAATGGTGGGTAAAGCTAACAACTTTAAATATGCCAGTCACTATTCATAAACCTGACCAGGCCTAAAGCACGTGAAGCCATCAACTACCCCAGAGAAAGGAAGAAGAGAAGAGGTGGAGAATGGCAGGTGACACTCAGCCCCAGTCACAGGGCTAAGCAGCTACCCAAGTGGGAGGCTCCAGATGTCATCCTCCGCAAGCTTGAGCTTGCTTTCCCATTCTCACAGAAGGCCAGAGTGAGGACCTATAGGAAAATCATTTTTATTTCTAATGCACTCTGTGAGGAGACTGCGCCAGGGGCAGGGTGGACTTACTGGAGTTTCTGGACAGCTGGGCATCACTGCTGGACTTTATGACCTTGTAGCCTGTAGGACCGTCTGATGTTGTGGACTGGGACCGTTCTGGTTTTACCCTCAGCTTGCTGTGGTTTTCTAAGACCTGGGCGGCAGTTGCCAAGGCAACTTTTGAGTTCAGAGTCTGCAAAGAAGGTGAGGAAAAGTCTTCTTCCTCATCATCGCCAATGTCCCAAGCATCACTGGTATTCCGGGCAAACTCGTGAAAACTCGAGGCCTTCTTATTCTTCAGAGGAACAGCATTGACTTTTGATCGTTCTTTAATGAAGCTTCGAAAAAGGAGACAGCATTAGCAAGGAGCATCTGACCACCTTTATTTACTTATTTTTGTAATATTAATAGCACAAACTACCCTAGATACAGCCATTAACCTCTTCGAACAAGACCAGCTTATCTCGACCCATCCCTATTAGCCCCATGTAGCACAGACATCTGAAGCAGAGACAATGAATCTCCCAAGAGTGCCTCCATAATTTCCCAGCCCCTGCACCTAAGTGACGCCCTATAATGGACTCTGGCCAAGGAGCTGAGGGGAGTGAGGAAGTTATTTGCAGGTCAAAGCCTGAAAGAGCAGGTATGAATTCTCCATGACCCTTTCTTCTGTCATGGGGCTGTCAGACTTCCATGGGGTGGGGCCTCCCTCAGCCTGGGTGAGTTGATGATGTAGAGCAGAGCCTGCCCTCCACCCTTTCCCCACCCCATTTTGGACACAAGCCTAAGCAAGAAATAACTCTTATTAATGCTTATTCTCACGGTTAAGCCACTAAGATTTTTGAGTTCAACTGTTGTGGCAACATGAGCTAAATCAGCTGTTACAGCAGACATAGATATGGTAGAAGAGGATGTAATTTTATACTAGGTCCCAAAATGAAAATGTCCATTTTTTTTGTTCTGTTAGCCAAGAAAAAAAAAAGCCTAAGTTTGGGGATACTTTTTCTTTCTTTTGTCTTTTTGGTGGTACTGGGGTTTGAACTCATAGCCTCATGCTTGCTAGGCAGGTACTTATAACTTGAGTCATAACCCAGTTTAGGGCTCTATTTCTTAAACAAAAAGAAAAAAAAAATGAGGGCCAAGGGGATGGGAATGTAGCTTAGTGGTAGAGTGCTTGCCTAGCAAGCTTGAAGCCCTGGGTTTGATTCCTCCGTCCAACATAAACAGAAAAGGATGGAAGTGGTGCTGTGGCTCAAATGTAAGAGTGCTAGCCTTGAGCAAAAGAAGCTTAGGGATAGTGCCCAGGACCTTAAGTGCAGGCAAAAAAAAAAAAGGCTGGGAAGGTGGCTCAGTGGTAGAGTGCTTGCTTTGCATGCATGAGGCCTTGGATTCAATTCCTCAGCACCACCTAAGCAGAAAAAGCCAGAAGTGGTACTGTGGCTCAAGTGGTAGAGCGCTAGCTTTGAGCTAAAGAGCTGACGGACAGCGCCCAGGCCCAGAGTTCAGGCCCCACAACCAACAACAACAACAAAAAAGATAAAGATAAGCCGCCCCGATGGCTCACGCCAGGATCTAAGGAGGTTGAGATCTGAGGATCATGGTTCAAAGCCAGCTGGGGCAGGAAAGTCCGTGAGACTCTTATCTCCAATAAACCACTAGAAAACCGGAAGTGGCACTGTGGATCAAGCAGTAGAGTGCTCGCCTTGAGCTGAAGAGCTGAGGGATAGCACCCAAGCCCAGAGTTCAAGCCCCGCAACCAAAAGAAAAAAGAAAAAAAAAAGATAATACTACTATAGACCAGTTGGAAGGGTTTGGGAGTATGACTCAAGTAGTAAAGCACCCACCTAGCAAAAAGGGTTAGGCCCTGAGTTCAAACTTGAGGAAGAGGAAGAGGAAGAAGAAGAAGAAGAACAACAACAACAACAACAACTTGGAAAGACACATTTCAGCACCTGAAGTAGGACACAAAGCCATCATCCCTGAAGCAGAAAGACAAAAGCCTCAAGGCAGAACATTACAAGGCTCCCAAAAGTATTCTAGGGATATAGCAAAACGCTGGCTCTGCGTGAGGAAGGAGGCTTTGTGAGGAGGGGCCTGGCATCGCCCAGAAGAGAAAGGGGCTGTGAGGACAGAACTAGGTTGGTGAGAGACACCTACCTATAGGAATGACAGAGAGAAAGCGAAGGAGTGAAAAGGTACTGTGTTTAGCACTGCAGAAGCAGAAAAACATAGAGCATGGAAAGTGATGGAAGATTTAAGGCTTTAAAGCTTTCCTGTTTATCAATGTCTCTCCAAGGAACATAAATAGATTCATATATTCACACATGAATGACAGTTAGCATTTACTGGCTACTCACTGGGAACCAGCCCCATGCTAATCTCCCTGTGTACACTTTTTCTCATATCCCCTGCATAGTCATCAGCTTAGGGGATAGAAACTATGATGATCCCACTCACACATAGGAGGAAAAAGCCGGAAGCTGGCTGAGGTTGTGAGCAGGCAGAGGGGTCAAGGCTCAAGAGCCAGCAAGCACTCTCTGCTGAGAAAATCTAGCTAAAAAATAGGTGGAAGCTGGGCCAGGTGGCTGACGCCTGTAATCCCAGCTACTCAGGAAGCTAACATCTAAGGATCACGGTTCAAAGCCAGCCCAGGCAGGAAAGTCCATGAGACTCTTATCTCCAATAAACCACTAGAAAACTGGAAGTGGTGCTGTGGCTCAAGCAGTAGAGTGCTCGCCTAGAGCTGAAGAGCCCAGGGACAGCGGCCAGGCCCAGAGTTCACACCCCACAACTGACACACACACAAAAAAAAAAGGAGGCAGAAGCTGGGCGCTAGCTCCTCAGGCTAGCTACTCAGGAGGCTGAGATCTGAGGATCACAGTTCAAAGCCAGCCAGGGAAGAAATGTCCCTGTGAGACTCTTATCTCCAATTAAAAAACAGAAGCAGAACTGTGGCTCAAATGCTAGAGTGCTGGAGCAAAAGAGCTCAGGAACAGCGCCCAGGTCCTAAATTCAAGCCCCACAACCAACCAAGCAAGATTTATCCTACTTTAGCATCAAATTCAAACAACAATACATATGTAATATCACCATGTGGCCAATGGGGCTTCTCAGCAATAAGATTGGTTTTACATGAGCTATAAAAATTATTGCAAGCAATATTCCACTAATAGTAATAATTTGACAAATTGAAGTCAATATGCACAGACAGGGAATGATTTATGGTGCTCATGCAACTTAGATAATTGAAGACCCAATCCAAGGTTTCGGCAGTGATGGGGATTAACCACCCAGTAATTAATGGCATTCTGAAGTGGAGCGATAATCATGTAGCAGAGAAAGCAATAAAAACGTCCCAACAAAATACTAAAATAAGGGCGATAAATGTTTTATAGCAACAATCTAGAATTGTAAAACAGTGTGGAGCAGAGCTGGATGGGGTCCCCTGATGTAGAATGAAGCACACACATGAAAAAGGGAAGCAATTAATTCAGACAATTAAAGTCCTCCCAATTTGCAAAGCTAAGGGATTGCTTCTATTCCAAGTATGCCTGCAGCTCTGCTGAGTGATCACTGAAAATGTTCACTGTTTAACCTCATTCATAAGCAACCAAAGGAAAGGACAGAAAGTTTGCCTTGACAGTTTGGGACATGGTGATGTCCCTGAAGATCTGCCTTACATAGAGAATGAAGGGAAACTCAAGAGATGACTGGTGCAGACAAGGTATGCCAACCCTGACCCAACATGCACAACGACAGTATTTCCAACCACCTAATAAAGGTGTAGATGGTGGCTTTATAGGCCACTTGTTTATTAAGGCAATTATAAAACATGCTGTAATGGTCAGGTGCTGGTGGCTTGCACCTGTAATCCTAACTACTTAGGAAGCTGAGATCTGAGGACAATGGTTTGAAGCCAGCCCAGGCAGAAAAGTCTACAAGACTCTTATCTCCAGTTAACTACCAGAAAACCGGAAGTGAAGCTGTGGCTCAAAGTGGTAGTATGCTAACTTTGAGCAGAAAAGCTCAGAGACAGCACCCAGGCCCTGAGTTCCAGAGCCACAACCAACTAAAAATGTTGCAATAGCCAGGTGCCAGAGACTCAAACTTGCTGAGATTTGCCGGTCATGGTACGAAGCCAAGTCTTATCTCTAATTAGCCACCAGAAAACAGAAAGTGGAACTGTGGCTCAAAGTGGTAGAACACTACTAGCCTTGAGCACAGAAACAGCACCAAAGCACTGAGGTCAAGCTCCAGAATTGGTACACACACGTACACACACACACACGTACAAACACACAAACACACATTGTATACAAGGAAGAAGCAGGGGTAGGGAAGATGATCAAGTAGGTAATTGATAGTGCCTTCCACTATTGACCAGACTACTCTCAATAAAATGAAGAAAACAGAACTTATTCTATACAATGGCAATATCACACAAATATCAGAGAAAACATGCTCCACTTAAGAAGTTATTACAACAAACATAGTAGTGCATGCCATTAATCCCACTACACAGAAAGCGAAAGCAGGAGGATCACAAGGCATTCTAGACTACATAATAAATTTGAGGACATCCTGGGCTACACAAGAAGAGCCAATCTTAAAAAAGAGCTGGGCACCAGTAGCTCACCCCTATCAATCTAGCTACTCAGAAGGCTGAGATCTGAGGATTGCAGTTCAAAGCCAACCCAGGCAGGAAAATCTGTAAGACTTTTATCTCCAATTAACTACCGAGAAAATCAGATGTGGAACTGTGGCTCAAAGTGGTAGAGCGCTAGCCTTGAGCAAAAAGAGGCTCAGGGACAGCACCCAGGCCCTGAGTTCAAGCCCAACAACAAAAATCCTTTGCCTATCCTCACATTCCCCACCCCAACCCTGGCAAGCACAGAGTTTCTGGCTGTCTCCAGAGATGGATCTTTCCAGAATGGCATAGAGTCAGACTCTTAATCATAATAGCACTTCCAGTGAATGTGAAGGAAGGAAGGAAGATATGACACTACTACACAGGCCCAGAGGTTGAAAAACAGATCTGCACGAGCTTTCCCAGAAACAGGCCTCTAAGATTCACTATGCCCAAAGATGGAGGCCAAAGTTGGAAAATCTGGGCTGACGCCCTACCTCCTCCTTTACCTTCGCTATGGCTGAGTGCCGCCCATGGAGACAGGAGCCATGTGAACACCAGGAGAGGAAGACTCATCCTCACGTCTTAGTTTTACCTAGTGTCTGTGGTGTTTACAAAGAATTTACTAGAATTTGACTACAGAAATGGCTTCTAACTACTGCTCATGTGCTGGGGATTGCTGAGAGTGTAGGCCAGGGCGGCAGGGCCAGGGAAGATCAGCTCACAGTTCCAAGCTCTTTGCCCTGGCTCAGAGCAAAGAGGGGAGGGAGAGGAGCAGTCCTTCTACTCAGAAGCAACAAGCTCCCAGAGGACCCTATGAGGGTCATCCAGGGACAATGTGTAGCCTATGCCAACCTTCTGCAAAGAACAGAAACACTCGTGAAGTTTCTCACATGAGCTAGCCTCCCATTTAGCCATGGACCATTTGGAAATGAGAGGATTATTCACCTCCAGGTCCAAAATCGAACATAAAAGGTCAACATGGAACAAGGGGAGGCGCAGGGCGAGGGAAGGAGGCACATGACTGGAGATACATCCTGACTTACTTTTTGGTGAGCCGAGGGTCCAGAGGAGGGTGCTGCGCTCCGTACACGGGCTGGATGCTAGAAGCAAGGAAAAAGGAAGTAGGCAGGTGTGAGGATGCTCGATGTGTTGGCTGAGTACCAATTACCACAAAACTGGATAGTACTTTAAGACATAGGAACAACCACACCAAGCCATCCCAAGAGCCTTTAAAAACATCTTCAACATTGTGAGAGTTCCCTGATGGTCAGCAAGTCCCTACTGTAAGGACGGCAGTGTGGCAGGTAACGAAGAGCAGAGTTCAAATGCTGGTTCTGTCGCCCACACTACTGCGAACTGGCACCAAGCTATTAGACATCGTTAAATCTATTCTCTCAAGCGGGGCGCCGGTGGCTAATGCCGGTAACTCTAGCTACTCAGGAGGCTGAGATCTGAGGATTACGGTTCAAAGCCAGCCTGGGCAGGAAAGTCCGTGAAACTCCTATCTCCAATAAACAACCAGAAAATTGGAAGTGGCGCTGTAGCTCAAGTGGTAGAGCGCTTCGCCTTGAGCTGAAGAGCTGAGGGACAGCGCCCAAGCCCAGAGTTCAAGCCCATGACCGATTAAATACATAAATAAATCTATTTTCTCATCAGTAAAATGGAAAAATTGCTTACCTCACATGACTCAAGAAGGGAAAAGTGAGCTGAGGAAGGGTGCAGGAGGGGTGTACAGTGACACGGACACTTGAAAATGTTTGGTTATACCCAGGAATTACACAAACATGGGCCCCAACACCAGTATTTTCACTCACAAATGGAAATACATTGATATATAGATATAAAGCTACTTAGTACACCAGAGGCCCTCAAACCCCAATCTAGAAACACCTCAATGTCCCCTGACAGTGTGTTCCTATAACAGAATGACTATATAGCAATGACAATACATGAAAGAAAGCTGCAAGGAACAATGTGGGAGGAGGAGCTCCTCAATAGCACACAGTGAAAAAAAAGAGGTAAAGGCTGGGAAGGTGGCTCAGTGGTAGAGCGCTTGCCTTGCATGCAGGAGGCCTTGGGTTAGATTCCTTAGCACCACATAAACACAAAAAAAGCCGGAAGTGGCGCTGTGCCTCAAGTGGTAGAGCGCTAGCCTTGAGCTGAAGAGCTGAGGGACAGCGCCCAGGCCCAGAGTTCAGGCCCACGACTGGACCCCAAAAAAATAAAAAAAAAAAGAGGTAAAGTAGCAGAGAGTAAATTGTGCAGCTGTCACAAAGTCATGCACACTGCTTAGGGGTGTGCACATCCTCAAGTTGCTGACGTGAAAGACGTAGCTCTGGGGACAAACACTTTTCCTCACTCGTGTTTCATGTGCTTTTCCGTATGTAACAGGTCACAATGAAAAGGAGAAAAAAAATTCAGTGACCTGAGAATAATTATGTGCCAAAGCAAACTGATGTCCATGTATAATAAGCAACAGAAAAACCACTTTCAGTAGGTCAGAATTTAAGGATCTCCTTCTGCATAGAGACTGTGAGATAGCTAGGCACCGGTGGCTCACACCTGTAATCCTAGCTACTCAGGAGGCTGAGATCTGAGGACTGCGGTTCAAAGCCAGCCTGAGTAGGAAAGTCTGTGAGACTCTTATCTCCAATAAATCACTAGAAAACTGGAAGTGGTGCAGTGGCTCAAGCCGTAGAACACTCACCTTGAGCTGGAGAGCACAGGGACGATGCCCAAGCCCAGAGTTCAAGCCCCATGACAGATGAGAGAGAGAGAGAGAGAGAGAGGTTGCGAGATGACAGAACACATCTCTTCCTAAGATGAATGGAGAAACCCTGGGAAAAGACCTGCACATACCACCTAACCGACCAGACCTTATGACCAAGTCTCAAATCTGAGACTCTACCATAAGGTAGAGGAAACCATAAAAGTGGTTTAATGGACAACGGTTCAAACCAGGAGAGGGTAAAAAGCAGACAAATACATCAAGCTTTTGCTAACAGAGCACAAAGGACACTAAAGCTGAAAGCTCAAGAATGTTTTAAAATAGAAACAAAGGCTAATGAACAGTGTATGTAAACTCAGAACAGGTGGAGAGAGAAGGAGCAGGAAATATAACTACTAATTTCATAAATATTTATGGTGGGGTGGGGGGTCAGTAGATATTTTCTGAAGAAATACGGTGGGTGTGAAGGCAGAAATCTGTAATGCCAGAACTTGGAGGCTAAGTGAGGCAGGAGGTTCTGGAGTTCACTGCCCTGTGTCAAGGCCCTGACTCAAAACCCACTCAGATGGCCTAGGAATGTGGCTTAGTGGTAGAGTGCTTGCCTAGCATGCATGAAGCCCTGGGTTCCATGCCTTAGTACCACATAAACAGAAAAAGCCAGAAGAGGCACTATGGCTCAAGTGGTAGAGTGCTAGCCTCAAGCACAGAGAGGCTCAGAGACAGAGCCCAAGCCCTGAGTTCAAGCCCCAGGATCAGCAAAAAACAAACACACACACACACACACATTTAAAGAAAAGAAAAACTGAGTGTTAATGGCTCAAGCTACTTAGGAGAATGAGATCTGAGAATCAAGATTCAAAGCAGCACAAGCAGGAAAGTCCATGAGTCTCTTATCTCTAATTAACCACTACAGATTTGTGAGACTCTTTTTTTTTTTTTTCTGCTTATGTGGTGCTGAGGAATCAAACCCAGGGCTTCATGCATGCAAGGCAAGCGCTCTACCACTGAGCCACCTTCCCAGCCCCTACAGATTTGTGTTGAAACATTCACAAATACCCTAGAGTGAGTACACTTGAACTCTCCAAGTCCACAAACCCTTGTAGTAAAACATTAAAAAAATGATACAATAAACTCTGCAGGAAGATATCAATGAGCCAGTGAGGAGAGATGACTAGATAGAAAAACCAAGAAGGATCCCAAGGTCTTCTCCCTAAAGATTATATAGCCACCTGCCAGTAAACTGTGCAGAGAAAACCCAAACCTAATTGTGCAGGCTTAAGGGCCAGAGCCCATCAATTACCTAGGAAAGGATCTTAAACTCACAGTGGACTATTTTTTTAAAGATGTCAGCCATATGTGCTGGCACAGCTAGAAAGGCTAAGATGAATGATGGACTCCATCAGCAAAGGTATCAGGGCCCAAATTGAATTTGTTAACATGTTCCTGAACTAAACCATGATGTATCTGAATCTGGAAGGCTTTAAATAATAAATCAGTTTATTGTACCTCAGAAAAAGACACACAAGAAGTTAGACAAGAAAAAGAAAAAAGAAGCCAATATAATCACACAGGCTAAATGACAACAGACAGCCAAGCAGTTCAAAAGCTCTATTTTTCTGATGTTCACAAGGTCTCCACCTTCCAAACACATCCCAATTGTCAAAACAGCATCTTTGCCCTTCTCTGGAATGCTTTCTCTTCTCTACATCCACCCTGCAACACTCTCCTCAAATGCAACCCTACCACAAGACTTCCCCTGCCTTTCCCCCAGTGCCCAGGCCCTCTCTGACTCCCTTGCACAAATCAGGATGAGATAACTTTAACAGGTGAGATTTAGATCAGAACATAAGCCACAAGGTAGGTGTTCAACAGGAAGGTGTGTGTGTGTGTGTGTGTGTGTGTGTGTGTGGTGTGTGTGTGTGTGTGTGTGTGTGTGTGTGTTTGCCAGTCCAGGGGCTTGAATTCAGGGCCTGGATGTTACCTCCAAGCTTCTTTGCTCAAGGCAAATGAAGCCTATACCACTTGTCCACAGCTCCACTTTTGGCTTTTGGAGGGTAGTTTATTAGAGATAAGTCTTACAGAGCCTCTGCCCTGGCTGGCTTTGAGTCACAATCCTCAGAGATTACAGGTGTGTGCTACCTGCACCCAGCTCAACAAGCAGCTTTTAAAGGAGATATTATAGAATTGGAACCCCCAACTCTCCCCTCCCCCATTTCAGACCTAGAAAATCACTCTGCTGAGCCGGGCGCTGGTGGCTCATGCTTGTAATCCTAGCTACTCAGGAGGCTGAGATCTGAGGATCGCGTTCAAAGCCAGCCCGGGCAGGAGAGACCGTGAGACTCCTATCTCCAATAAACCACCAGAAAACTGGAAGTGGCGCTGTAGCTCAAGTGGTAGAG